ATAGCTGATTGGTTGAAACGAACAACCTGCAATTATTTTTCGAAAGGAAAAAAATCTCGCGTCTTTCTTTCAATAGTAAACCAGGAAGAAAAATTGTCCAAAACAGTTCTTCGTGTGAAATAAATGCATGCGTGATATGGGCCTTACCCGCCCAAAAGAAATACACGTATTTTAAGTATTTTAAATGAATGTTTTGATACACTGAAGAGCCAAAATATTATGACCACCTACTCAATAACGCGTTGCGCGAACTTTGGCCTGCAAAACAGCTGCAACTCGCCTTGTCATGGATGCCACATGTTCTTGGTAGGTAACTGGATACAGGTTGTACCAAATTTCTGAGCAGCGGTCAAACAAAGTAGAGATATTATGACATCGTTGTGTTTGAGCTCTGAGCTGCTGCTCCATGACATCCTAAATGTGCTCTATCGGCTTAACATTCGGCGAGTTAAGTGGGCAGGACATCAACTGGAACTCATCCTTATGCCTCTCGAACTACTCCAACACAATTCGAGCCTCGTGACATGGGCGTTGTCCTGATGGATGATTCCATTTCCAGTTGGGAAGACAAACACGATGTAAGAGTGCAACTGATCTGAAACTATGTTCATATAGTCCGCAGCTTTCATGGTCTGTTCTACCACAACTAAGGGTCCCCGAGACGCCCATGAGAACGTTCCCCAAAGCATAATACCGCACTACAGCCTGCGTATGACCTGCTGCACACGGGGGGGGGAGCAACAGTTCGTCTGGAAGACGGCGTATTCTGACACAACTGTTGACATGATGAATGAAAAATCGTATTTCATCCGACTAGACAACTGTCTTCCACTTATCCATGGTCCACTCTCGATGTTCCTGGGCCCACTGTATGCCTATCTGACAATGACGCTTGCTTAACAGAGGCACATGAGTGGGGCGTTTGTTGCGCTGTCCCATATCCAACCGTATCCGCTGAACTGCAGTTTCAAAGATACTCATGCCGAGTCTTCAAGCCATTACAATCTGCCCTCTATCAAATTCGCTTGGATTAGCAGCCTTTCTCATCACTCGCAAATGTAAGTGCGAGAATGATTCCTTATATTCTCCAGCGGCAGTTAAATATCATTACCACTTAATCACGTGCCCTTCACGTCATCCAGATGAGTTCATTGAAAAACGTGGGGATGGACAATGATTTGGCTCGTCAGTGCATTTTCAATATTCAGTGATCATATTTACTTTTCTTCATTTTATGTACATAAAGAGCTGTTTTATAGATAACACTTTAAAATATTTCCCCATAATTCTGCAATATACTAGGAAATTAAAGTTCTCTTTCCGAACATTTGAATTTCTAAAAAGCAAACTTAAAGTAAGTAATGTAAAGCAAAACTTTAACCATTAAAAAGGAAAAAATGTTGTTACATTTTTGGAAGCTCGTTTCGTTTCACTTAACTATTATATACTTCTAATTATCATTTTGGTTCCCAGGTCTGTTTCGTCTGATAGCTGCCTTAGTGTTGGCTGTAGCCTCGACAAGAGCATCAATCCGTTTCCATCGGGATATGTTATGGAGCGTTCTACGTTCTCCTATGTCCTTCTTCGATACCACACCTTTGGGCAGGATTATCAACAGGCAAGTAAATCAAATATGAGAAGAATGTAATAGATAAGTAAAAACACAGTATTAATGCGTTCTCTCGTTTGTCTATTTTTTTTTCCTATGTATCGAGTATCATTTATCGCTTGCTTTAATACGAGTATATCATATTCTAAACATTCAGAAACTTGAAGAAGAGCAAAATTTTAAAGTGACACGCACCAGCAATGTTACATCAGTCTCTCATTTGAAACATTAATATGCGCAAAATCTGGTCTACTTGTTTGAATGATGGGTATTCGCCGAAAGATGTAAGTCTAGCAAATTCTGTCATACTTCAAGTTTTCTAATATAGTGGACGCTTGTTAATTCGAATTCGGTTAATTCGAACCTTCGGTTAGTTACAACTAATCCAAAAGGCCCCAAAAACTTGTATTGGAATTAATGTTAAAAATATCTCATTAATTCGAACTGAATTCTTATCACTCCGGTTAATTCGAACTAAAAATTTGGCAAAAAAAATTCTTTTCCTTCATTTAACGGAGAAAATACCTGCTATATTTATTATTTTGTGTGTCAAAATTCTCTGAATTTATTTTCCGTGTAAAGGGGAACATGCCTGCATTCCTTGAGTATTGGATTTCCGCTAAACGTTTAGTGGCTATTGTTCTACTGTCTATCTCTTATCAGTGCTTAACAAACAAAGCTTCTTAGCCTAACCTTTTTCCTTGGATTCAATCAGAGCTCTTCATGAATGGATCAGGCTAGGGGAAGAATCATTTGTTTATTTGTTATTAATTTTCCTAGAATTTCAGAAAAGCCAGTCTTTACTACAGATTCTAGAGAGCTGCGTTAGTTCCCAATTGTTTATTTGTTATTAATTTTCTTAGAATTTCAGAAAACCAAGTCTTTACTACAGATTCTAGAGAGCTGCGTAAGTTCCCATTTGTTTATTTGTTATTAATTTTTAGAATTTCAGAAAACCAAGTCTTTACTACAGATTCTAGAGAGCTGCGTTAGTTACGCCGGCAGTGCAGAAAAGTTACTGTGCTCTAGTTTATCATCCTCAGTGAGTGGTGTGAAAGTGTAAAAATTAAGAGTGACCACACGTGGAAAGTACAAAACTCTAACTTTGGAGACGAAGGTAGAAATTTTAAAGAAAGTAGAGAATGGAGAATGTAAAACGAATGTAAAAAAGTTAGCAGCTGACTATGGAGTTAAAAAAAATATCATGTCAACTTGTTTGTAAAACAAGGAATCAGTTTCAGATTCATAAGAAAAATCTGAATTTGCTAGAGGAAGGAAACGCATGAGAAGTGCGTAGCAAGATCTAGAAAAAGCTCTAATGCTATGGGTACGGGAGGCTAGATCTCTAAATTTTCCGATAAATGGACACCTGCTGCAGACGAAGGCCGATGAATTGGCGAGTCGAATGGGTATTGAAGATTTTGAATAGAGTAATGGATATCTTTCTCGAATTAAGTCAAGCCACAACATTCCTTATCAAACTGTATGCAGCTAAAGCTGGGATTTAAACGAAGACTTATGCATTGATTTCTGTAGAAAACCTGCCAGCGCTTTTCTCTATTTACCTGCTGAATGATATTTGTAACTGCTAACGAACGAAACTGCACTTTTTTTAAACTTTAACTCTTGCTAAGCAAGAGTTAAAGCTAACATTTCAAAGGAGATGCTTGCGCAAGAGCTAAAAGCAATTAATAGAGAATTACAACTTTAGTTTATGCTAATATGGAAGGCAGCGAAAAGCTTAAATTAATAGTGATTACAAAGTCCAAGAAATCACGGTAATTTAAAGGAATTCGAACACTGCCAGTTGATTATGTGTCCAATACAAACGCATAAATAACACAAGACATCCTCAGTAACTGCTTAAAAGAAAGAGGCAGTTTTCAAGGGAAAAGCGTTAAATTCTCTGATTTGTGAATAACGCAACCTACTACAATAACCCAGAACCGAGTTCCATACAGGTTGAATATTTGCCGCCAAGCACAACTGCGAAGCCACAACCAATGTATCAAGATATCATCCAGAATCTTAAAACAAATTATCATAAGGCGACTCTTACAACAAATAATTTTTTCTTTAGATTCTGGTGAAAACTATGACTTACTCTGCTGACAGCTATAAATGATCTATACGCAGCATGGGATGATGTTAAAGAAAACACAATTAGTAACTGCTTTTGTCACGCAAAAATTAAACAATCATATCTAAAATTGTGGCTAAATTGATACAGCTTTTTCCTGAATTCAAAGAATTTAAATGTGATAACGTTACTTTTTCTGATTATATAAGGGTAGAGAAAGACTTGGAAGTCTGTAGAAAACTGAGCGACGATGATATAATAAAAACTATTCGAGAAGATAAAAAAGAAAAGACCTTTTTGGATTCAGAAGATAATGTAAAGACTGTTAAGCGTCCCAACGACCAAGCCATAAAGGACCCTATAAAAACTCTGAAAGCATTTATTCAGATTGAACCTTCCTCTGAAAATGAACTGAAATACTTACTTCAAATTGAGAAGATGGCTGAAAAATGAAGGCATAGTAAATCAAATAAAACATCCAGTCATGTTTTCTCTTGGCTTTAAAGGCATTTTTTTTCTTCAGTAAATTAAACTCACATATTTATACACAGATTCCTGATTTTATATTTTGTTTTTACTGAACAATTTGATGTCAAAAGACACAACAATTGTTCGGTAACTACAACATGTATACAAGTATTTCGTAGTAAACCCTCTTTTACCTTTCATTTCCTTGAAGAAACGAGCAAGTTTTTCTGAAAGAACTCCAAAAACACTAAGAAAGGAGCTTAAAGTTAGCATCTTAATATTGGATAGACTATACATAATGCAGAGTGAAGAATTGCCGTGCAACTTTTTCACATGAGTCCAGATAATTATATATACATATGATTTTCTTATATACGATATATTTTTGAATGAATTGCTTTCATTTTTGTCAGAACAAAAAATCTGCAGACAATGTTAATTTTTTCACCAACTTGGCGACATTCAGGAAATCTCCGGAAAACGCGTGTTCGAAGTCCTAGAAACGATTTTTCTCGAAAGCTTCCATAAATGTATACCTTCTTCCTTGAGTAAAGCTCTAAATATCGACTCTACTTGAACCGTGAGTTAGTTAATTCAATTATTTTGTCCAGAATCTGCGAATCTGTTTTACTAGAGAGCAGTTCGCTGATTACTGTTTTAGAATTTTCGCTATAATGATTTTGATGATATGGGATCTTCCTCACGCGTTTAGGAGACTTTGTCTTCTTTCTCTTTTCTCTTGTTTATTTTCCTGCATAAGCTGTAGTTTATTTCAATTTCTTCTTGTTCGTCTGGAGTACTTATTAAAATTTCTACGAATCTGTAACATGGCTAGAATATAAACCTTTTGTTTTTAAACAGGAAATTTAACTTGGTTTCCTTCATTATTTCTTCCTACCCCTGAAATATCTTTCTTTCCTCTTTCATCTTTACCTTCAGAAAAGCTTTCCTTTTTGTTCTTTTCAATTACTTTCCAGACAAAATAATAACTTTCCTTTAATTTTAGGAATTTGGGGAAGAGGATTTCTCTTCTTTGGGAATCTTAATGCGAAATTTCATATACGGTTATTCTTTTGAAGATTTCATGTGACGTCTTTAATTTCCATTTTGTAAACACCAAAAGTCGTATTTTTGCAGCTAAATTAGTCTTTCTTAAATATTAATATGAATTTTCTTTGTCTGACTTTCGTTTTGAAAAACGGTAGCTCGAAAGAGTTATCCGGTTTTCTGTTTTCAATTTTTTTTTAAAATTTTAAATCTGCTTACTAATTTTTACTTACTTCTTTCTTGAACAATATCATGTACTTTTTAACATATAAGTTGATAATCAAATGTGTTGCCTTTCATGTATAATATTCAAAATCTGCATTATTAAATAATGCATAAATTTATGTCTATTACTTCCAATTTACTAAATTAAATATGAATTTTGTATGTGTCTTCAATTTGGAATCACTCTATAAACTTGGAAGAGTTCGTAAAATTTCGTATCATCTTCAGAATTTAAAACAGTATACTTAACTATAAGTCATTCGAAACCTCAAATCCCAGAATGATTTTACTGAAAATTTTAGAAAGATTAATTTCACTGGTATCTAATAGAAAAGCTCTTTCAAAAACAGGAGAGAACAGGAAAGGGAAACTACGGAAGAAAGAAGCAGGGGGTGGAGAAGAAACAATTATCGCCAGTTTCGTTAATAACTGATTCGACAGTATCGTGACATGGCGGACTTTGAGTGTCACAATCTTAATTTTCTATAGATAATTTAGCATTTCATGTTTAGGGCTTATTTATGTTAACTCGTAAAACAAACCTCCTCCTTTTGCGCTTGTTGTAATTTTAAAATAATCTACAAAAATGTAAGAAATCTGAGCTGTTTGTCAAATTATGCTGAGAAAATAAACTTTGAGATTCAAGAATCATAAAAATGTGCTTTCAGTAAATGTAGGTGTATTTTTAAAAGTTATTCTTAAAGTAGTTTTTAATTAAACGTAGATTTTAAATTTTGCTTTAATTAAAACTTTTAAGTATTATTATTATTATTATTATTATTATTATTATACTCATTTGGAGAATTCATACGATTCGAAAAGTTCAAACATTTTTAAGAATTCGGATTCCAGTTAAAATAAAATTGATTTCGTCTCACTCCTTTATAAAGAATAAAAAATGTGATTATATCATATTAAACCTAAAAAATAAATAAACATAGCAACTGCCTTATTTCTCGTCCTCTCAAAGTTTTAAAATCTTAGTTGATTTAGTACCAGGCAATCAAAGGAATTAAAAAAATAATAACATTAAAGACAAAAATCAAATTTAATTTAGAAATTCTATCTAAATTTCCGCAGTTTTTACCGAACTCATAGAATTCCATGACAAAATTTAATACAGAAGCATTTTGCTGTGACTAAAAGCTATATTTCTTTAGATAGTTGCATTAAATAATAAACTATCAGA